GAGAATGATAAAAATTCAACGTGGCACGCATTAAATGTATTCAAGGCTGGCTAACTGACAGTCTCAATGTAATTGTAAATGGGGAATTATCTTTGAGTGGGTGTATTTCTAGTGGCATCCTGCAGGAATTACTTCTTGGCCCTATGCTATTTAACATCTTTATCCATTACCTGGGAAAAAAACATAAAGTCATCAACTGCAGCCAAGAAATTCAGCAACATCAGGCCCCGAGAACCATGCTGCGGCTTTGGCTGGGAAGGAAGAATGTGACCCAGTGATATATCACCACCCTCATGACTTCTGACATTCTCCCATCTAAGTACTGATGGGACTTTACCTTGCTTTGTATCTGAGCTCACTAAGCAAGACTCTAACCTTGCAATGGGAGCCAGCCTCCAAATTACAGTGTCACAGGTACTAGAACTAGGCCTTCACTGCCACTGGGATTCCTGGCCCCCCTCTCTCAATGAATGGAAGATGAAGCCCATGAATGAAACTCACACATACAACCCGACAATGCAAAAACGTTGACAGAGAACAAATTACCCTCTCTGCAGAGTGAAAACGTGAGAAAGTGAAAGCGTGATATTTATTTTAATGCCATGGAGGTTTTTTTAATTTAATTTAAGAGACCAGCTGTTTCAGCTTCTCTTATAAGACCTTAATTGGTATATAATAGCATAGTTAATTAAATACAAATCAATAGTTTAAAACAACTAATTGATATTTAATATGTAGGGGAAAAATAACTTAGTTGTAATATAATTAACTCAATATTAAATAAGCAATGGAATTGCAGTTATGCCTTTACGCTAATTATAAAGTTTATTGTTCTTTAATAAACTTGCAATTAGGCAGGATGAGCTGAAAAAATTATTAAACAGGTATTACTGGACTATTAAACATTGATTATCATTCCTGGTGGGACACAGCTACACCATAGTACAAAGTATGATCATGCTAATAAACCTTTACTACTCCTTTGCTATGGCCTTTAATATGCTGGTTGATCAGAAACCTTGCTCTCTGCATGACTTATGGGGATTGTGATTGCTTTGAAAGCAGGTTATTGAATTGCAAATGAAAGCGAGAAAAAAAATCTGATGAGGAAAAGCAGGAGGCTTCTGTAATTTGGCGCAGCAAATCGACAGCTCCTCTTCCAAATCACATGCGTCAACTCTTGCCACATTGGAGGAAAATGTGGCTCATTGGATGGCTTCAGAGTTATGGGGTATGGACACAGGCGGGTTATGACCCTGATGCCAAAGCGTTTCAAGTGGTGGATGTGTGCTTAATCCTCTTAGCTTTCAGTTGTCCTTAGCCATTAGGAGCCTGTTTACACTGCTTTGGTAGTTCCAAGCCCAAACCAAGATCCTGTGCACTTGCCAGACGCGGATCTCCCAGCTGTGCTGATGCTTCTACGCAGACCTTCTAACTCAGGTATGGGGCTTCTGCTGCATCCACACTGCAACAGGATGGGGCTTGGATCCAAGTCACAGCGAGATTTGGCTCTGATCTACCCCCCAGTCAGACTGATATGTGTGTGGACTGAAGTGGGGCTGGGTTCAAACCTGAGTTACAGAGTGTGCAGTGTAGACATACCGTGAAGAGCATGAGACGGTAAGCCACAGAGAGCTCAGAACTTAAGGCCTTCAAGGCTGCACCGAGACACCTCACAGCACTTTATCTTTACAGACTCTTAAGTATTTAAAAGTGCCTTTAGCTATAAAAGCTTTTGCGAGATCTCACAAATTTGCAGCATGACTTATTACAATGCTGTGCACCGGTATAGCGCCTTTCATCAGAGGATATCAAACGGTTTAATAGGCGTTCCTTATCACAGCCCCGCTGTGAGGCAAGCTGGAAATGGAGCCCAAATCAGAACAAGCTGATCCAAACTCTGGACACACTCTGGCCCAAACCTAGTCCTCACAGGTTGGAAGCATTGCCAAGTATGATCCCCCTTTAAGAACTGGAGAAATGAGGGCTTAGGAAAGCTAATCAAGTTGCCCATGATCACACAACAGGGCTACAGCTGAAGTGTTGTCAGCTTCCTGGCCACTAACACGCTCTTTTCCTTCTCCACTTTTCTTGATTACGTAGGTACCTTCTATGAAACCTGGCGTTTAACAAGCTAGCTAAGCAGGCCATGCTTCCAGTGCTAGGGGCCTCATGTAAGAGAAGAGCCGACCACCACTACTGGCCAAGGATGGGTGTTGCTCTAGCTTAACTAGCAGAGGATCTATGTTTGAGAAGGGAACGTGCAAATAACCCATCGGAGTAGATTGTTGCACTGACCCCCAGAAAGGACGAGAGCCTGCTACTCGTATGTATCTGCTCCAGTCCTACTAGTGCTTCTAGCCAAGAGAGTGACTCCCTTGGCTCTGGTGTTGGCACTGGTGTTGCAGTCCTCACAAAACACTCCTGGTGGGAGGGGCACCATGTGAATCTTGGGACTGCCAGAACCTCATCTACCGTTCTGACCTGTTTCAAAATTCACCGAGTGCTAGTGGAAGTACAATCGCCAACACTAAATGGGGGAGAGTTTGCACCCCCAAAAAAATATGGACTTGCACTTCAGACTCAGTAAAAGAGAAACGCTGATTCTTTGACTACACAGTGTAACTGATGATTTTGTTTGAAGTTAAGCTAATTTTGTTACTTTAATTACACTTTGGCTGCATGGTGTTCATTGAAGGGTCAATAGGGATTAATATTTTGCTTTCCTATCAGTAAAGGATTAAATGCATAATGCTTTCTTCTACCAGATCTATATATTTAAACAATGTTAGATTTTAAATTCTAGCTAGCTCCTACCTATTCTAATTAGCACCTTGAATTTGGAAGAGAGCACTTAGCTACTGAGTTAACAGCTCCTTGTGCTATCCTCCATTTGTAGGCACTAGACACTAGGGGTAACCAATAGAGGTGAGGAGAAGGCCTCTTTTAGTCCACAAATAATTATCCCATCCATTTTTTATTTCCACTGGAATAGCCCAAATGTTTCTCTTAGCTAAATACAAAGATTTCAGTAACCAGCATGGCTTTGTCTTGTGGTTTGAGCCTGGGACTGAGAGTCAGGCTGTGCTACTAATTTACTGTGGGGATGATCCTACCCTAACCCCAATTCAGGAAACCATCTAAGCAGGTGCCTAACTCTACGCATTGGTTTTACGGAACTATTTCCATGCTTATAGATAGGCACCTGGGTAAGTATGTTCCTGGCATGGGTCCTAAGGTAGTGGGCAGTGATGGTTCTCAGCATGTCACAGGTCCTAGGTGACCTTGAACAAATTGTTTCACCATCCTGGGCCTGATCCAAAGTCCACTGAGGTCACTGGGAATTTTTCTGTTTTGCTCTGGATCAGCCTGTCGGCCAGATCGGCAAAGTATTTAGACACTGAACTCCCAATAAAATCACTGGCAGGAACCTCAGTACCTCTGAGCATCAGTGACTTGGTGCTCCCTCCTCCCCCGATCACCAAAGGACACTAATACCTACCCACTCAGGGCACTGAGAAGGCCAGTTAGGCCTTGTCTACACTTACCAGGAGATAAGTACTGGGGGGAATCGATCCCATGGCGGTCAGTTTAGTGGGTCTACTAACACTCCACTAAATTGACCGTGGATGGTGCTCCCATTGACTCTGGCGTGCCACCGGATCCAGAAGCATAAGGAAGTTGATGGGCTCTCCCGTCGACCTCTCGCAGTGGGGACACCGCAGTTACTCAGTCTCAGATGCATCGACTCCAGCCTCGCTATTCATGTGGCTAGGGTTGCATACATTAGTTCCAGATTGCCCCCTTGTGCAGACCAGGCTTCGTGCCTGGGCACACCTGCGGATACTTGGACGGAGGGTGCTGCCTGGGTGCTTTGTATCGTTGGGTACCACACGTCATTCCCAGTCTGCCCCTCATGGGCTGCCTCGGTGTTCCTTGCCCAGGTTGCACAAGTCCAGAGAGTGAATGCACAGGAGTAAGTGCTACTCCGCACGAGCAAGGCGGGGAGGATAGTATCCATCCCCTGCCGCAGGGGTGACGGGAGCATAGCAGGTTAATGGTTGCGAGGCGCCCCAGCGCTATTGAAGCCCAGGCCCCATGCGGATGGTAGATAGATTGCGGTGTGTAGCACTCAGCTCGAAAGCACCGCCAGCCCTCGCGCTTTTCAGTTTTCCACTTTCTCATCCCCGGTCTCTCTTTGCGGCATTAGGAGTGCACTTCTGGTGACAAATGGGACCTGTAGAAAGGGAGCACAGAGGCACTAAGTAAACATCAAAGGGCCTTTGATCAGCTTGGATTTGTAGAATGGGGAGCCCCCAAAGGCAGGCTGCATCTGGGACATGGTACCTTAATTTTCTCCGCCATGGATAATTGCTTTGAAGAACGAGGGTTTTTTTTTTTTACTGTGTGGTGAGATAGGGGCATGGGGAGAAACACACACGCACACAACATGCTTCTGGAAAATCCAGGCTCACATCTGCTGCTCTGCTTTTTACTGATAGCTGGTAACCCCCCTGTAAGACATCGTGGGATCAAAGCAACAGGCTTCCAGGGGCTTGGCATTATGCCACCATTAGGGACAGCTGCTCGTTTCTAAAGGGCAAGCAGCCTCAAGGCAGGTTTATCTGTCCTTCAAGGCGCCACTTGCATCTGATCACGCTGTCTGCGGAGCAAAGGGGATTAAGAGGCCAGGTCATTGTCACCGCTGCATGTTACTGAAGGGCACAGACTCCCAGTATATTGCAGCAGGAGATAAACACCTGAGAGATGGCATGCAGCGGGAATGGCCTTCCCATGGGAGGGGAGGATGCTCAGACCCTTCTCTGGAGGAACACTCCTGTCTGCTTTCCCGGGTCCTGTAGTCCTGTGCCTCGAGGACCCCTTTACTTTGCACTGACAGCAGGGCCAGCGGGTGCCAGCTCCCTTGCCCTGTCCTGACTGTGGACATTTGTGGCCCTCTCCTGGCTGGCCTGCCAGCTAACGTAGCTGCTGCTCTTTCACTTTTAGAACTGGGTCTCCCGAGAAGAGGATGTTGCCTGGTGCTGGGATTCATGTACAAGGAGAAGTATCGGAGAATGACTGAAGGTAAGTGCCTGTCTCACATGCCGTCCAGCCTCTCCCCACAACCCCGACAGCTTCTACTTCTCCCCATCTCTTCCCTCCTTCCCCCCATTATTATACGTTCTTCTCCCTTTATCCCTCTTCCCACCCCCACATCTTCTGTCCCCCAGCCCCTTCCCTGGGCTTACATGTGTTTTAAATCCATCAAGAGCCTGATTCAGTTCTGACAATGACAAAGCTTCCACTGATTTCACTGGTTCAAGATTTGTTTTCTGATGTGGCAGCTCTGTGTAGTAGGGAAGTGGGAGAGGGGGGATTTGATTTCTAGTCCCAACTCTACCACTTACTCACTGTGTCACCTTGGATGTGTCCCTTTACCTCTCTGAGCTTCGGATGCCTACCTGTAAAATGGGTTACTTTCCCTTGCAAAGAGCAAAAAGTGCTTCCCTTGTGCTTAATCTTGTTATTTTATTCCTAGCCTTTCCTGTTCCCGGAAGGGTCCTGTCTGGAATATGGCAGGTCACAAGAACTCTGACTTGGGCGAGTTGGGTTCAAGTCATTTAGGATTCAAATTTCAGAAATGCCAAAGTCTCACTTTCAAAAGCAACAAACTAAGTTTCATTGAAAGTCAATGACATTTAGAATCCTAAGGCCCAGATCCTCACAGGTGTCTAACTCCCATGGGAATCATAGGAGGGTTAGGCACCAAACCTTCTTAGGTGCTTTTGAAAATCCCACACATCTCCATCTGTAGGCATCTACATACCTTTGAAAATCCAATCCTCTGTGCCTTGTTCCCCATCTACTGATTGGGGCTAATATTGCCTGCCTGGGAGGATGGTTTCTTTAATGCATGTGAAGTGCTTGCATATTTCCTTGTCTTCCCTGGGGGGGTTTCTAGACTACATGCCTCTGGTGACATCTCTTATCGTGACTAGAGATGGGCCTAGCAAGTTCCTGCTCCTCTGAGCAGCAGTGTTTTATCCTGCTCTCCGTACAGTTTTGGTTCATGGCAACCCGTCTGCACAAGGGGGGGATCCTGCTGCACTGTCCCTCTTTCCCCTGACGTGCCAGCCTCTCTCCCTGCCCACGACTCCTTTTACTGCTGGGCCTGTCAGCTGCACAGAACATTCTATCAAAGGGGTCCTGGTAGCTACACAGCTGCTGTTGCTCTCTGCCAGGCCCTGCCCTGCCTCCCTGCAGCTGTGTTCCCCTCCCCACCATAGAGGGGAGTGCACAGGCCTCCCTCTGCAGATGGTTTGGTTTAGAAAGGAAAGTGGGGGAGGTAGCGCAGCAGGCACTTTCTCCTGCAAATGAGAAGCTGTCACGGGCACCATCTAGCCCTGTCTAGCTGCTGCTGCGGCTGGCCGGAACAGGTGGCAAAGGAGAAGGCTGACACCTCCTAGTGCTTAATAGCTCCCACTCGTCGCTTTAGGAACGGCAGCCAAAAAATGCCATCATTGCTGCAGCGGTGACTGCTAACGACTGGGTATAGCTCTGGCAAGATGACAAAGGCAGGAGAAGAGAGAGTGGGTGCAGAAAAGACTCCTGCATGTCTGCTCTTGGCTGGTGGGGAGTGAATGGAAGGAAAGTGCCAGACCTGAGGCTGTGGGAGGGGGCAGGTGCAAGCCCGTCTGCTGATGTGGAGGTGAGGCACTGACCGTTGGGTTAGAGGGGGCACCATTGCTGTGGCTGGACAGTTATGCTAGGCCATTGGCTTTGGAGGAGGGTTGCTCTGTGGGGGACCTATTACCTAAGGCAACATTCTCACCTACACCCGCATTGTCACTCCTAAGCCAGCAGCCTGGAGTCAACACAAGCGGCAAGAGCCACAGGGCATTCAGCGGGATGCCATCCGTGACGCAGGTGTCTGGCTCGATGTGCTCAGGATTGGCAATGCAGTCCATGCTCCGGCAGAGCCTCGGGGAGTTCTGCCGGGGAAAGGATCTGGCCCTTAATTACTAAATGGCACATTCCTCTTGATTATGTATCTGTTTCTGAATGTTAACAAACAGTCGGCACTGTTTGATTGAGTGGGTTATTAGTAGAATGAAGACAGATGGTAGAGGATTAACTCTAACGCTTCTTTATTGCACGGGCCGTTGCTACAGACTGCTCAGCACTCTCCAACTACCTACCGCCGCCACCAGCTTCATTACCCACTGCAGCTCAGAGCCACACACCCCTTCGTGGTCCAGCCACAAAAGCAGCCAACTGATAATTGGCGTTCAGGGACCATCAGGAAGTGACCGAGTAAGAATGGCACTTTCTCCGGCTCCCTATCCGCCTTTGAGTTGCATCCAACTCTGCCATAAGCTCTGCAGGGCCCAAAGACAGAGAGCTGGATTCTCTTCCACCCTGTGCATCAGATCCCACATCGCCACACTTGATCCTTGTGGATCATCACCAGTGTGAGGAGCACTGACACTTGATTCTATAAAGCCAGATGTTGGGTTACAGCTCCCAACTTTCCCCGAGGGACGCCAAGGCCGTGTCTGGACATGCACTTTGGTAAAACGTTATTAAGTGATTGCCAGGTCACGTGCTAACTAACACAGCTGGAAACGCAGATGTAGACGGTCCACAAATGTGTGTTCACAGGCACCACGGAGTGTCAGACGAAACATCTCAGAACATCTACATTGGCATTTACAACCAGGTTAATTAATATGTCATTTAACATGTGCTCTAGTCTGGACAAGCCCATAGACTACCTGGCTGTGGGAGAGAGTAAGCCCTGGTTTGCTGTAGGGATATGAGCGAGTAGTCGACTAGTCAATTAACCAACAAGCTTAGGCTTATTGGTTAATCTAATTGACTACTTGCATTCCCCCCCTTGCTGCCTCTGTATCAGTTATACACAATACGGGATCCGTCCCCAACTAGGGGTGTTAGCAGGTAATAGAATAGTCGACTAACTGCGTAAATTCTTAATGGTTACATGACTATTCTATAGTCCCCGGGGGCAGGGTTGGCAGCCAGTGCAATCAGGCCGGCCTCACTCCTGGGGAACCCACTGTACCCTGTGCTGCTACTTCTGTATCAGAAGCAGCAAGGGAGGGAGCAGGAGCTAGTGCTGGGGGGAGACAGCAGCGTGGGGGGAGGCAGAGGGTGACAGAAAGCAGCCTCTGTTCACAGGGGGTCCGAGTTCACTGCGGACAGGGGCTGGTGGGCTGCCGCAGACAGAGGCTGCTTCACGGCAGCCTCCCCCTACCCTCTTCCTCCCAAGCAGCCTCTGTCCATGGGGAGGTCAGACCCCTGGCAGACAAGGGCTGCTGCCACCCTGCACTGCTGCTTCTGTATCAGAGGCAGCAGTGCTGGGCAGTAGGCCACCAGTCCACGAGGGGAACTGCTTTTTAAACTGGATCCCCCTCGTGGACCAGCTCCCACCTGGCACCCCACACTGCTGCCTCTGATACAGAAGCACGTTGTGTACATATGTGTTTCTCCCCATGCCCCTATCTCATCACACAGTTAGTTGACTGTTATATTACCTGCTATCTAATACCCCTAGTTTGGGGATGGATTCTGTACTGCGTATAAAAATTAGGGTTATAACTTTTTACTATCTGATTATACCAGTACAACCCAGAGACTAGATACAGTTATTCCAGTGTAAAAGTATCTAAATCGCTATCATTTAGAATCACAGAAGATTAGGGTTGGAAGAGACCTCAGGAATTCCTCCATCCAACCCCCTGCTCCCAGCAAGACAACCCATCCTGCACAGCTCCAGCTACACAGTAGAAGAACTTTTACACTGCTGTCATTTTGACCACACTAGGGGTGTGTCTAAACTACATGGCTCCGTCGACGGAGCCATGTAGTTTAGACACACCCCTAGTGTGGTCAAAATGACAGCAGTGTAAAAGTTCTTCTACTGTGTAGCTGGAGCTGTGCAGGATGGGTTGTCTTGCTGGGAGCAGGGGGTTGGATGGAGGAATTCCTGAGGTCTCTTCCAACCCTAATCTTCTGTGATTCTAAATGATAGCGATTTAGATACTTTTACACTGGAATAACTGTATCTAGTCTCTGGGTTGTACTGGGCGCTGAGCCGACAAACAGCTGATCAGCTGTTTGTTGGCTCAGCGCGCCAACCACTATATTTAAATGAAGCCACGATTATTTAAATCGTGGTTTCATTTCCCTTTGCCAAACAAACAAATCTACATGGCTCCACCGATGGAGCCATGTAGTTTAGACGTACCCTAGGGTCTTTGCATCCCTATGAGCATAGTCAAACTCTTGTGTGTAGACAAGGCCTCAACCCAAGACCCCCCACACTTTTCAGGCAACAAATGCACTTTAACAGCATTGTGATGAGGAGCCAGCCCGGTTCTGGTGGTGGATGTAACTCCCTATTTCCACAACAAAGGAGACCCCATACCACATAATGAGAAGATTAGTCCATTGTCTGCAGCTGTTTTTAATTCCTTTGGACACCCTGTAATTATTGATTGGGCTACTCATTAACGTTCTAATGCAGTAACGAGGAAGGTCTTTCATTTGGCAAAATTCGAAAGAGAATGTGGCTATTTAGTCCAATGGTGCATGTGACCCAGAGAGTCTGGCTCAAGCAGTGAGAATTGGAGATCAGTGAAGTGTGTCTGGCTGGTGAGTCTTGCCCACATGCTCAGGGTTTAGCTGATCGCCATATTTGGGGTTGGGAAGGAATTGTCCTCCAGGGTAGATTGGCAGAGGCCCTGGAGGTTTTTCGCCTTCCTCTGTAGCATGGGGTACAGATCACAGCTGGAGGATTCTCTGCATCTTGGGGTCTTCAAAGTATTTGAAGGCTTCAATATCTGAGATATAGGTGAGAGGATTATTCTAGGAGGGGTGGGTGAGATTCTGTGGCCTGCACTGTGCAGGGGATCAGACTACATGATCATAATGATCCCTTCTGACCTTAAAGTCTATGAGTCTATGAAGTAATGTTCTCAGCTGCTTCAGGAAGGTTAGCCTCTGACGTCCACTTGGGCTCTTTAATATGGAGATATACCTATCTCACTGAACTAGAAAGGACT